TAAATATTTAAAAAGCAAGAAAAAAGTATTCAAGAAACAAACCCTGAAGGAAAGAGGTGGATTCATAATTCATCATAGGACTGTATCTTGCACACACAAGATGTGTGCTCTGAATGTGAATTGACAGTAGTATCTTGACAGAAACAATGCACATTTGAAGAAGGGTGATACTGAAAAACATTTTGTGTTGCATTTAGAAGACAAGCGTTGTTTCTTTTAATGAACAGTAAAAATCACTGTGTTTCTTTACTTTTTTCCTTTTTTACTTCCTGGGTACACAAAAATGGTTTCTTCTCTCTTGTTAAAGACATCAGAATGTTCTAAGACTGAGTAGCCTGTCCTATCCAAAATAAAGAAAATGCTTTACTGGTAGGCGAGTTACTTACACAACATATGATCAAAACAATACTTCTTGAAATATTTGCTAATTCACAAGGTAATTTCTCTTCCATTTCCTTTCAAAGAGGATTTTGTTTTCTTACATAAGGGATTGTGCTGTGAAATTTAGCAATCAATAACTGCCAGATACTAGCTTTCAAATTAAAGCTAATCTCCATGATTGACAACCTAGGGTGGTTTTATGCTTGGATAAGTACAGAATCTAATGTAACCTGTAATCTAAACTAAACCATCAAAATCAGCTAGAAGAAAAAGGCCCTGAGATAGTCTTTGGACTTATGCTCCTTAGTGATTATACATTCAGGGAAAACACCAGCACTTTAGAGGAGAAAATGGTTTTGTCTATCGGTGTTCAGAGTAGGAAAACCTGGGGAGATTCCCATGCTGTATTTTGGGATTAATGAAGGAACAACCTGATTAATGAAGGATCAGCTGAAACAATGATATAAGTAGAAGGTGATCATGGTAAATAGAAGTAGAATAAAACTAGCAGATGAGCAATGCTAGATGGTATTCGCACACAAGTCTCACCAGTACTCAAGGATGAAATAGTACAACTATAGAACTACCATGTACCTCATCTACTCCTGGCATCTGAAGATTTGACAGTGGCAAATAATGTGACAATTTTTGAAAATAAATTTTTTAGAGGAACCTAGGGAAGTGCAGACCCGTAAGCCTGCAGGCAAACGAAGAAAGTGTTAACACGGACTGAGACCTGCATAAATGGAAGCTACCTGAGAAGAACCCATGCAATTTCCACAAATGGAAGTCCATCATTACAAACCTTTCAAATTCTTTTAAGAGGTCAAGACCCTTGTGGGTAAGGATAATATACTTGGCAAGTACTGCTTGGATTTTCAAACGGCTTTTTATAAGGTCTTGTGCAAAGCACTTGTGGAGAAAACAAACAGAAAAGGCAGGTCCCAGAATCAGTAAATAGTTACAATTAGGAAGCAAAAATGTTTAAAGAAATAATTAAATGTTACATACAGGAAAGCTCCCAGTGGTTTTCCACAATGGCTGGAACTTGTGCCTGGAAAAGGTAGTGAGAAGTTACATAAGCATGTTTGCACACAATAAAGGAATTCACAGGTCAAAATATGAGGACTTAGCACAATTTCCTGTCTCAGACATTGTTGCCACAAAAGGACTTTGCCATGAGATAAGCACAGGATGGAGTGACAGGATGGCATTGAGTCCAGGCCTGGTGAAGGAAGATCTTGTTAGCACATCCTGGAATACATCTGGAAAAGAAATCCCACTGTGGCAAACGCTGTAAAGAAGCAACTGCTCATATGCATATCACTGGTGAAACAAAGATCACCCCAAACTGTGGGACAGATGGAACCTGCAACTACCAAAGCCCCTCCTCTGAATAAGCCTCTGTGGATACCTGGAGCTTGGACTGTAAATTAAGGCACCACAGAGGTAACTTGAGGTAAAATAAGGGTGATATTCTTGTCCAGGTGTTATCTCAGACTGAGAGGGAGGTAAACAAAGCTGAGGGAGAAGAATGTATGACTGATAATGGACAAGGAAAGCCAACACAGCAACTGTACTAAAACCGGCTCAGACTGAGTAAAAGGTAATTTTGGGAGGGGGAAGATCACAGCCCACTGGCTCAAAAAAAGAGAAAGACTGAGCATGGAACTAATTAGCAATAGAAGTGAGGTAATCATTTAATCAATAGTATAAGAAAATGAACATTAATTCCTTTATTTGCAAGAGTGTATAGTGAAAAGTTTTGAATTACCTCAGGAATTTGAACCACCACTACCAAGAAGCCTAGGCTGAAGACAGACCAGTGAGACACTGCTGGATCCAAGGGTGGTGACTATCTTCTGCTTGATCTCTCTCACTGTCTCTCTCCTCCTTACCCTCTTTCTATTTCTCTCTGTCTCTCTACCTCACATTTACTGTTAAATAAAAGTTGTGTTATTAATTTGGCATGTGGTCTCATCTGCACCTTAATTTGGGAAGAGGCATCTCCCACTGCCATTTTTACACAAGAGAGTATGAGGTCTGACTGAAGAAATGCAGCCTATTCTGAAAAAAATACCGACTGATAAAATAGCAGATGAAATTTTTAAAAAGAGGTTTTTCTTTTTGTACGTAGGGTAAAACAAATCTAGATTCACACATAAAATTATAGGGTCTGTGCTGTCTGTTGCTATTGGAGTAAGCCTTTGTGTTTGTGAGAGATGAAAATATCAGCTCAGTGCTTGCTATGAGTGGAAAAATGAATCATATATTTGACTTTATGAGGAAATGAATAAAGAAAAAAAAGAGCATCATTATAGCACTGTACAAAATCACAATTCATACACACTCCCAGGTAATGTGCACGGTTCTTGTCTCCCTAAAAATGACACAGAAAGGTTTGCAAAGGTTCACAGAAGCACCCATAATATGGAATAATTTTCTTAGAAGGACTGAGAAATTACTTTGAAGGAAAAGATAAAAATCATGCCTGATGTAGAGACTGTAGGTAGGGATTTACTGCTTACCATTGCTTTTTTATGCAAAAAATAGGACCACTACACGAACTCAACAGAGGTCAGCCTCAGAATGAACAAAAGGTGTTTCACACTGTGGGGGCCAGGGGGGACAGACCTGTGGAATGGTTTGCCAGCGGAATTTTGGAGGCAAAAGGTTTACATATGTTCAGAGTATACTGGAAAAATATTTTGATGGGAGATCCAGTAAATGTTAGTAGGGACACATACAGCTTCAGATTCAGAAAATCCTCTGAGCTGGAAATATGCAGAAGCTAGGGGAAAGTGTCATATATGTTCTTAACCTGCCATCCATTTACAGTCATGTGTTCACACATGCTTCTAATATGGAGCCATAAGACATGATTTAGAGGGGGGCAAGATTAGGCACAGCTTGAAGCTATTGGCATAACAATACCACAGGCTTTTTTTTCTCGATCAAAAGCGAGCATTGACATACTTCAGATATGGTTTATGTACCATAGCATTTGGTAGGAAACATCAGTCAGCTTTGTAAGACCTCACTGTTGTACACTTTTCATGGCTCCACTTTGCTGCATGCGTTCAATTACGGCAGGCTGAACTCATCTTACCTATCTGCAGCAATCTGGAAATGTTTATTCTGAACTGACACCCAGATTCTCCGGGTGAGAAAATGGGAACTCCAGAGTATGAGTCATTCCATCTTAAAATAGATGTTGAAGAATTCATAAGAAAGTGTAAGTCTTATTAAGTTAAAAAAAACCCAAAAACACCAAAACAAAAAATACCTTAAACAACTATATTTCTATACTACTCTAGCTAATGATAATTCTGATTAGAGAATTCAACATTAGACACACTGCCTAGAGACATGTAATCACCACACATCACCTGAAAGATATAATGAAAAAAAAAGATTTTCTGGCTGCCAAGAATTTGTTCATCTGGCTTGAAAAGTCTGTCTCTGTGTGTGTATATCAGGAATCTAAGTGACAGCCGCAGGAAAGCTGTTCTTGGTGTCTGTAGCTAACAATAGCTAGCCAAGAGTGAAATTCTATTTCTGCAAGTGTTCATAATCATGGCAAAGATCTTAAAATCTAAACTAGATTTTCAATACATTTGAAAATTTTATTTTGGCAAGTGAACCAGTTATTTCAGCATAGATTTAAGTCCCAGTGAACCTGAACTGAGTAAGAGAGCAAAGTGTGTTGCTGATGTGTCCTAAGACTTCAGGGATATAACATAAGGTGAGAATGTAAACTCAGCATTACCACTCATTTCATTGCTCACAAATAGAGTGCAATAACATTGATAGTGCACTGCATTTATACTAGAATATTAAAACCACTGTAGCTAAATACTTCTTTTACCTAAAAAAGCATTCTTTCCAAGAGGTTATAGTCAATTTCTGAAATTTCATCTCCATTTACAGCCTGGCAGCCAAGGATTTGGAAGTAAAGACTAGTATATGAAGATATTGCTTGTTTTTTCACTTATTTCTAAGCTTTAAGTGTAACATATCCAGTTGTATATCACTACAATTTGCCTGCAAGCCTAAATATCTAAAGGATGATTCAGATATCTAAACATGGACATAAATCATTAGACACCTTGCAGTATCCCACTTGAATTCTGAGAACAAATTTAGGATAACAATACCTCACCAGATATGTGCTATTGCTGTGTAGATGTCTGCTCCAACACAAAAAATCTTACATATCATTTGATGCCCAGGTCACCATGCAAGATGTTCCTGGAATTTGCTGAAACCTATTGTACTGGCATGAGGTACACACACAAAACCTTCTGTTGAGCCAGGGAACAACAACCAGTAGGTGAGTTACTGCTCTCTTCTTTTCAGGCAGGTAATCCAGAACCAAAGGAAAAAAGAGTTTCCCTAGGACAAAGAGGTTTGGGTTAGAGAATATTTAGAGAATACACCAGCAAGCTTGACATCTGAAAGTCCAAGAGGCCCTGAACAGATTGTCCACACATGCTGAGAGGCACCTGGCTGACACCACAGACAGGCTGCTCATAGTCATCTTTGAAGGGTCATGATGATCAGGAGAGGTGCCTGAGAACTGGAACAAAGCAAATGTCACCTCAGTCCTCAATAACAAGAAGGAGGACCTAGGGAACTACTGACTCATCATCCTCACCTCAGTCCCTGGGAAGGTGATGGAGTGCCTCATGCTAAAGGCCATCTCTATCCCCATGGATGACAAGAAGATGATCAGGAATAGTCAGCATGGATTCACTAAAGGTAATTCATGCTTGACCAATGTAATTGTGTTCTACATTGGGCCTGTTCAGCCTTGAGAAGAGATGCCTGAGAGTGGCTCTCATCAATGCCTGTAAGTATCTGAAGGAGGGTTCCAAGAGGATGAACCAGGCTCTTTTCAGCAGTGCCAAGCAATAGGACAAGAGGCAGTGGGCAGAAACTGATGCACAGGATGTTCCACCTGAAAATGAGGAAGAACTAATTTTGTGTGCAGATGACTGAGCACAGGAACAGCTAGCCCAGGGATGACATGTAGTCTCCCTCATTGGAGAGATTCAAGAATCATCTGGACACAACCCTGTGCAATGTGTTTGAGGATGACCCTGAGAAGGGAGTTTGGACCAGATGACTCAGCATACTCCCTTCAAACCTGACCCATTCTATGATTCTCTAACAGTTAAAAAAGTGAAATTTTCACAGTAGCTGCCTGATGTGTCTGAAAATCAATTAAGAGAAATATGTAAAAATTTTAATTTGGCTCTTCTGTGAAGAAATCATTTTTTTTTTCAAATATAGCTAATACACAAAAAGAAATTCCATATTCAGCCCTTAAAGGGCCAATAGGCCAAGAAAAGTCTGAAAATATATTATTTTCAGATGTCAATATCAAGCAGCAGTTTCTTGAATTTATGGGTTTCTAGCCTCTTAGCAGTCAGTGCTTGCACAGATTTTTATGAGGTATTGGTGCAGCTATCACAGATAACAAAACAAATCAATTGAGAATAGAAAGCAATCATCAAAACACTAATGAAAAATTCTGTAGTCTGTAATCCTAACTGTTTGTGTAAGATTTAATTCTGAATATTTATGCAAGCAGCATCAAATACAAATTGAAAGAGAGCAAGTTCCACAGATGCAAAGCAGACTGCAAAAGCCCGTAGCATCCTGTGCTGCTAAACAGATATACTTTGCTTTTAAAAAGTCAGCAACAAAACCTGACACATGGAAAATCCATGTGACTAAACATTTGCTCAGAAAAGAGAAGAACCACACATGGCAGCTAGTTTCCCAGGCAACTCTGAATCTCTGGGAATATATCCTAAAGAATTATGCTTCTCAAAGTCTTTCACAAGAGAAACTATTGTTATGCAATGGTAAGTTACAGAATGATTTCCTGATTGACCTTAATTAGATAATTACCACAGTTTTGTCCCAGATGCTCTCCAGACAATTTAGGTAGAGATTATTTCCTTGTGGGTTTCAGAGGTTCTTCTAACTTTTCCGAGTTTTTTAGTAGATTCTTGTTTCATTTCGTCTAGTTTTCGTAGGATGATATCGCCCTCATCCCATTCTCTCTCCTCTGTATTTACTTTTTTCACTTCCCCAGAAAGCATGTATTGCAGAAATCTCTGATGGTGATGATACTGTATGAGTCATACTTCTGTTTGAACCTGGTTTAAAAGATCCTCTGAGAATATTTTGTCTCATAGCTCCAGTGTGGCCATGCTTTTCCCAAAGAAAAATATATGAATAAGCACTGTAAAAAAATAAAATCACTAAAAGAAACTACCATTGCTGCTGAAACACAGGGAGGAGAGTGCTCTGGCAGATAAAAATATGTATTTTTAAAGTTTACTTTTCTGGGCAAAATTTGCTTTGTCATTGGCAAACAACAATGCCTATAAACCAGTTTCTCAGCTGGAAACTTAGGGGATGTACACATACACACGCAGAGTACAACTCCAATATTGTCCAAATGCACTGAATCTGACTTGTCTCCAGAAGACCTGATCAGCAACACCCTATGTGTATCTGAGAACACTTATTCTAGACAATAATGTCATCAGAAATTCCATGCAGGTTGTTCATCCAGAACGAGAAAATGTTTCTGATGAAAACACTGGTGTTGTAGGTTAACCCTGGTGGGCAGACAAATGCCACACATTCACTTGGTCACTTCCCTCACCACCTCTGGTGCAACAGGGGAAATAAAGGGCCTTGGTGTTGTGCAAACACTGGGCACCAAAAACTAGAACACCAGTGGTTACAGCACTGTCTTGGTCAAAAACCTAAAACATAGCACCATATAAGCTTCTATGAAGAAAACCAAATAGTAGTAAAAAATAAAAAAAATGTAGCAGAGAGCTAAGGAGTAGCCAGGACCACTACAATGAATGATGAATAGATAATTCATTAGTATATGTCTTATTTAACCAAAAAAGAACAGCATATATCCCACTCCCATGATATCTGCTTCTGTAGTTGCATCAGCTATTCTGCATTTTTATGGCTCAGAATTAAGTGGTTTGGGGGGTTTTTAACAGGTGTAGGTTGGCAGGACATCTATAAGTATTTTTAATTGAGCTTGTTTTTGTCTATGAAAGACGCTCTACTGTGGCGATTGGAAAGAATGTTTGTGGAAAATTTGATTAAGGACACATTGGTTTGATAAAAATCTAGGTTATTTTTCCATTACAGAAAATAGCTCTTGTTTTTGAGATTTATCTAATCAAAGGCACAGAAGTAAATAAAATAGTTACAATTTTGAGTAGTCAAAATAAATCCTTGCAAGCTAGCAATGGGATAATAATCCCTCTCTTGAACTATATGTAGACATTGCTGTATAGAATTCATAATTTGAAAAATGAAAAGGAATAGCAATCTTTTGCATTTTGTGAAGGATAAATTAACATTTTTATGGTGGTGTATTTCTTCTACATGGAATTCTCTCTCAAGACCACCAAATCAAGTTTCTTAGTACAGTAAAATTAAAGGGTAGTTGCTTTCTTTTCCCTTAAAAGCAAACAAAATAAATGAAAAATAGCTTTTATTTTCTGCTTAAATGCATTATCATTTTACCATAGCCTATCCAGACTGAATACTGAATAAGTAATATTACGTTTGTAAAGACTGAATCATGGCTACTTGCTCACCAATATATCTGATCTGATAATTCTGTAAGGCAATCTCTACCTTTAAATAATATAACTTAATGTTTGCTATGTCAACAAAGATATGTCTGAGGAGTAGATACTTACATGGCCTTTCTACAAGAAAATTCATTTTTAAAGTACATCTATAAATTATACAGTATGTCTTTTACCTCTGTGATTGGTTTTGTTTGTTGGGGTTTTTTAAATTTTTCACAAAATATTGGTATCATTAAAATAGTTATTTTTCCATTCAGGTTTCTATAGCGTCACAGTGCCCAGAAATCAAATATGGAGGAAGTAAACTAATCCTAGATCTCACCTGTAACCCATCTAACCTCACAGAAAAATTAAATTTTAAATGCTGTAACTATAACATTTGTTTTCTTAATGTCTTTAGAATAAATGCCAGCTTTAATTGTGTCACACAAGATAAATCAAACATGGATTTTAGGGTATATGTACCCTTGTGGCTGCTGTAGGTATAATAAACCCTGAAACTGAATAAGTGGGCAGCAAGGTCCCAGAAAGCAATGTGAGCACTGACTAAATCAGTTCTGGAAGCTGTGAGTCCCATTTTCACAGCACCATATCAGATCTAATATCCCTGCACTTTGATGCAGGCCCATTAAACTCACACCTTTTTCTGAGCATGTCCAGGTAAGTGTTCCCCTGTTCTGTATGGGTTTATCCCTGCAATCTCTACAGGTTGAAAAATTCAACAGAACATTAGTTTTCTCCATCCAGACATTTTATTATTCTTGTTAAGAGTTTCTCCAATTCTCATATCACTGTCATGGTCCTTCTCAGCATCTGAATATAACTTGGACCCACTTTACCCAAATGTCAGTAATAATAGAGGGCACACCATTTAAGGACTTGTTACTGTGATACTCAGTTTAAGAAAGGAGTTTCTGTTCTTTTTTAATATTGTATTTTGGAGGAATTATCTGTATAAAATAGCTTGATTTTGAAAAATTCATTTGCTACATAACTCTGCTAGATTATCTATATTTCATAAAAGCAGAGATATTGCAATGGCATTTGAAGAAAAAATCGTGGTGGGTGGTAAGCGAGGGTTTTTTGTATTTTATATTGGCCTTCTCTGATGAGCATATAAGAACTCACAGACTTCAAATATTAAATTTGACAAGATTACAGAACAGCATTGCAAATTATTATGCCCTAGTTGTCTGATATATGAAACAAACAAACAAAAGTTTCAGTTTTCTGTTGAAAAGCCAAATTAAGATAAGGGAGCACATGTATTGTCTGTAAAATCCGTGTAAAATCGGTTATAATAAATAATTAGTAAGTCATTAACAAATGCATAAAATAGCTTTTCACATATTGCATAATCTGCTCATGTACATTTGTTTTTTAATTTAATTGTATAAATCATCTAATCATAGTTCTGCAATAGACTCGGGTTACATATATTTTACAAGTACAGGACATATATGCAATCATTGGAGGAAAAACATGTTTGAGGTAATTGCCCAATAGTATAGGAGTTTGAATTTCTTGCTTAAAGAGATCAGATCTGGGTAGCTCTGCTCTGCTTTATAGTAATGTTCCAGTATTACTAGCTTTTGGTATAGAAACAAATATACAAGATGTGAATAGATTTAAGTACTATTAGGTTTGTTCTTTCAACATGTAAATACAAAGAAGCTCAAACAGAATAAAAAATGATGTGCCTGATAACCTGCCTTAAGCATGACACCACTGTCTTATATTAGGTTGCTATTTCCAGAGGCAATGCTTATGCTCAAAGTCAGTACAACAATTGCTCTGGTGAGGCTCTGGCTACGCTGCTTGCAGGAACTTGCAAAATTCCCATCAAGTGCAGAGGTTTTTAATAACCCCTAAGACATAATGATCACATATAGTCTTTCTGAGAGAATCGTCCTTCAGGCTATGATTTTGTTATGAGTAAGAATCAAAGTTGTTCTAGTCGGATGGATAGCATAGTGCTATCTGCACTAAGAGTTGCTATCAGATGTACAGATAGACTTTTCCATACAAAATATTCTTTGA